TTCATTCTAACCATTCTTCAATTTGTTCACCCTCATGTGAGTTAACTCCACATTATTTTGTGGGAAAAAGAAGTTCAAGTAGTTTGTACAAAGCTTAATTGTTTGCTAAAAGAATCCCTTTAAGATCAAGACATTTAAATTTCATATCAGCACTAGATTTAAATATTCACCTCTTTGTCAAAACAGAAAAAGACATGTTACCGCAAAAGCTATAGCACAGCAGGTTCTCACCCTCAGAATCTGTAGCAGAGAATCTTAATAATGCACTGTGAAGACTCATCATATTTATAAAATATCCCAACATCAGCTCTAGAGTTCCCTTCTCCTCTTTGATAGGGGATCAAACGAATGGGTGCATCCCCCTCCAGGAGCTACCCTTCTTGACAAACTGGTCTCTACTACTTTTCAGAATCTTACTAAACTTCCGGAATGAAAATAGCATAAGGTTGGTTGCATTCAACTTAAATGCTTTTATTGACAATGTCTTTGAACAATAAGCAAACAATGCTTAAATTTTTCATTCAAATTCACTTTCCACATGTCAAAAGACCTCAAGGTAGAAAAAAATAAAATAAAAATATAAATATCTGAGAATCCATCTTAATAAATAAATTAAAAACACAATAAAACGTTTTCATGGAAAACTGTTAATGTCAGAACATTCAGACCACCTCAACAATGCATGATCAGTAACATTACAATGAACATTGATGTTGAAGAAAAACTACAGTACATGGATATAACTATTTATGTCTATCTACTAGAAAATAAAGTCATATCTTTTCTTAGTTTTATATTGGTCATTGCTAATCAGAACACACTATTGCCAGGAACACAGTAGTTATTGTTAAAATCAGCTGCACTAGATACAATTTGAAAATATCCAGCACCAGGTTAATTCCAATAACGAACCCAATAGATTAGTTAATGCTATGAGAAGACTAAAGAGAAAGAGAAAAGAGACACAGACCCAGGCCTGGCTCAACATGCTACTAACTACCAGCTCTCAGATGTGTCACTGGGAACAATACACACTCCATGCGTTTTGCTACATCTCCAGAAGAGGTAAAGACTTGAGTCCACACGTGGATGCTTTCAAGTCCTTGAGGCCCACAGCCTGGTGTGTTGCACGCACAGATAAGGTCCTCCCTAGGTCTACAGGAACCCTCGAGGGAAGACGTGTTTCTCCTCTCTGTAATGCACCAACTCTGGCAGTGGCACTGGTCTGTGCCTGCTGCCTCTCCTCTCTGCCAGCTCACAGGGCCAGCAGCGTGGGTGAGCTCAGTGAGTCAGAGGAGGGCTCGTTGCTGCTGCTGCCCTTGCGGTGGGCAGCCGCACAGCTGGGGAAGGAGTCAGCTTCGGGATAGGTGAAGACAAAGGAAGACGTGTAAGTAGCGCAGCTGGGAGTACAGGTGACCACCGGGGTGCACAGGGGCTCCAGCTCTGTGGCCATGGGCCCCATCCCCAGGGAGCCACCATGCAGGGGCTCCCAGTCTGCTGCATAGAAGGAACCAGACAGATCCATGTCTGGCACAGAGCGGGCGGTCTCAGAGCCACTGGGCCTGGATGATGCTGGGAACAGGAAGTCATCAAAGGGCTCAGCCTTCAGCTCCATGCTGCTGATGTTCTTGGCAGGCTCCACTGAGGGCTTAGGCTCAGGGTCATTGAGGAGGGGCAGGGTGAAGGCCTCCTCAGACTCAGGGGTGGCAGCCTCAGGCAGGCCCCCACTCAGATCAAGGGAAGCCATAGACATCTCTTCTGGGAAGCCTAGGTCATCAGGGATCTTGCAGGCAGGTCGGTGAGCTGCCAGGATGAACTCTAGTTTTTCCTTCTCCTTCAGCAGGTTGGCAATCTCAGTCTGCAAAGCAGACTTCTCATCTTCTAATTGGTCTGTCTCCTGTATACAAAGGGATAAAGCAAAGCATAAGACACAGTAATGCTCAAGGACACTGCTCCCTTCTCTAACTTTCCACTTAAGCCCAATCTCCGTTGATTCTGTTCTTTTCTTTCTTAATTTTTATTGTTCAGAGTTGACATTCAATATTATTTTATGTTAGTTTCAGGTGTTTCCCCTGAAGTTTAAAAAGGAGTGACCCCATGAAATCTACCTACCGCTTGGAGTGTGTCAGTCAGCTCCCTTCTCCGGTTCCTGCATTTGGCTGCAGCCATCTTATTCCTTTCTCTACGGATTCTCCTTTTCTCTTCCTCTTCTGGGGACAACTAGAAGAGAAAAAGACCAACATTTAATAACAATGTTTGCCATCAGCTCCATTCATCCGCCCCTGCAGCCTCCCAGCTAGCTGGCTTCTCTTCTGCAAATCCATTTCTATCTAACCTACAGTTGCAGGTTGAGTGTGACTTGCATTTCAAATAAGATGCTCAGCAAGAGAATGAAGAGCCCAGTGTAAAAGCATGATAGGAATCTCTTAGGGAAGAAACTATTAAGGTATTCCTTGATGTGGGACTATCAGAGTCTGCTTCAGGATGAAAAGAGCTTAGAGCCTGAGTCCCGCCCCCTCCCCCCCCCCAGGATGTGTAGTCAATTCCACCAGTGACTTTACCCTATCCACTGTGCTCCCCATCCCCACCAATGTCCTACCCCCAATCCCTGCAGAGAAAAGGTGGTGATGTAATCCTCACCTGTTCCACCTTGCCCCTCCTGCCAATGCTCTGAGCTCTGCTTCCTGTCACAGTCTTCATGACTCCAGCTCTGGAGTAAGCCCCAGCTGAGGGGGTGGGAACTCCATAGGGGTGAGGGGCTCTGGTCTGGGATGGGGCCACGGAGGAGACCAGGGTGGGCTGCACCAGCCACTGCAGGTCCGGGCTGGTTGAGATGGCAGTCACAGTTGGGATGAAGTTGGCACTGGAGGAGGCCAGATCAGTGCAGAAGTCCTAGAACGAAACAGAAGAGGGAAGCTGACGTGAAGGTTCGGGGCACAGGTGGGGCGAGCCGAGTTCCCAGTGCTGCATGCAGCAGGGAAACGGAGGAGAAACGGTCCTGCCAGTGACTGCTCATGTCTTTTTATATGCCCCCTCATCCTGGATGAAAGGTGTTCCCCTTTCCTCCAAGAATTCCGCCGCGCGGTGCCTCTCTCCTCATCCCGCTGCTGCGTGCCCGTTATCCCCTTCAGCATCACTTGCTTGAAAGGGGGTTTGTTATAAATATCCCTGACGTCTGCGCTGACGCAGGCGCCGCTCCGGAGTCTCCTGAATGAACTCTCTTTTTATCAATGAAACTGCCTTACACACTCGCCTGCTTCGCCCTCCTCCCCCGCCCCTGCTCCAAGCTGCGAGGGGAGGGTGGCTGCCGCTTTTTGCCGCCTCCCGGGAGAAGCTAGGCTCCAGTTAGCGAGTTTTTCTTTGCCTGGGACATGTTGGCCCTAGCTAATGTCAGAGACCAGAGAGCGCGGGCCGGGGGCAGCTCAGAATGAGCCTGCCGCGGGGAAGGAGAACCAATTCTTACTGTGACAAGCGTGCCTGGGCTCCCAACAAGTCCCGGGGCTCCCGAGATAGGGCTGCTCCGACCGGGGCCGCCTCCCTCCCCGCCAAAAGGGGTACCCGACTCGTCTTCCTGAGTGTCTCTCCCGGTGCCTCCTCCCCAGTGACCCCCGAACTCCAGGTCCCGCGACGGCATGAAGCCAGACTTACCTGTCCGTTGACAGGAGAGCCCATGCTGGAGAAAGAGTCAGCCGGTGAGTGGTAGTAGGAGAGACTGTCCCCGGCTGGGGAGGCGCTGCTGCAGCGGGAGGAGGACGCCTCGTAGTCGGCGTTGAAGCCGGAGAACATCATGGTCGTGGTTAATCAAAGCCGGGGCGAGGGGCTGAGGGACGGAGGCAGGTAGGAGCTATGGGGCAGAGCTGGGAAGGAGCGCACTCACTGCTCGCTCGCTGCGCCGCCGCCGCCGCCGGCTCTGTCTCCACTCCCTGGCTGCTCGCTGCAGATGCGGTTGGAGTACGAGGAGCCGCAGCCACGGCTTTTATAACAGCATTTTTTTATGAATGAGACCAATGACGTCACGGCGCAACCATTGCGGCACTGGAGGGGGGGTACGCAAGCCTCGATACTTCCGCAGCCTCCTTGCCGCCTCTGCCGCCCTCGAAGCCCCCTGTCTCCAGTCTTGTGTTTCTCTATCTTGTGAGAATTTAGCAATCTGAGTCTTGGGGGTGTCGTGGACCCCCAAGGATGAGGGACTGCGAGGATGGCTCCCCCCATAGCTGCAGGGACGGGCCGTGGAAACCTGCTGACGCAGATGTCCTAATATGGACATCCTGTGAAAAGGGGGGAGGGATTGACGGGAACTGCTCGCCGGCTGCAGCCAACACCAAGGGTGCAGGCGGGGGGAGGCGGGGGCCGTGGCCGGGGAGGGGAGGCGGGAAAGGCGCAGAATGAGAGCAAACATTCGCACCTGGTTCAATGCGGACCCTTGTTCCCGCGGTGGGGGGCGGGGGGGATGGGGTGAGGGCGTCTTTTTACCAGTATACAGAAACCAAGGAGCAGTTCTGAGGCTCAGGTATAGAAGAAACAGGTATACAACCCCGAAAGCTTACGCTTCAGCCCGCGAAGGAATGCGCCACCGCCCCCGTTCCCAATTCTAGCAAATTCTATGCAAACTGTGAAAGCAGACCCTCACTCCCTCACCTCAAGCCCCGGGCTCGAGCAATACTTGGACTATTACTGCGTTTGGAAGCACAAAGTCGAGGGATCCAAAATAAGAGGATACGATAACCTACTTTATCTACGATGCTAGGTGTTTTCATTTTATTTTTTGTTTGTTTTTAAGGGAAAAGGCGCATTTTTTTCTTGATCATATAGGGGGATATAAATGTTACTGTCAAATCCCTGAGATACTAGCCAATAAACATTATGCAGAAAAGCTCCATGCAAGGATGTCTGAAGGATTCAATTGCCTGGCTCTGAGCTGGGGCTCGGGGCGTGGCGAAGGGGTTGGGGGTGTTATATGGACAAGGTCATCAGTTCCGGGTCACTCAAGTAGAGTGAGTTCTTGAGATAGGGGGGCGCGCAAGTACTAGCTGGGAAAGAGGGGTTGATTCGGTTCTCCAGGAAGCTAGTCATACTGAGAGCCTGCAGCGAGTGATTTTCCAGCGGGACCTTGGAGCGGGGGGAAACAGGGGGCGCTGGAAGGACCGTGCCCAGCGGCACCCAGGCCGGAGACCTAGGCCACTGAGACTTCAGGCGCAGCTCCGTAGCCTGAAAAACGGGGCTTTGGAGCAACAAGGTGCCCAGACGCCCCCAGGCTCCTTGCTCCACTGCAAAGGACAGCCGGGGTCACACTGCCCCAGCTCGGTCCCAGCGCGCCGGCCACCTACGGGGCACGAAGCCGCACGTCTCTGCAAAGCCCCTTTGTCCCTCCTTCCCACTCTTCGGGCTTGGGGGTCACGGTGAGCACCTGGAGTGGGGCGAGGCGAGATTAGGGCAGCGGGCGTATCATTCAGGACGCACAGGGAATGGGACAGCCGACCTGCCTCCAGCCGCCGCACCCCGGAGCCAGGCGATCCAGCTATAGATAGTAACAGGGAAGCGGCTGTTTACAGCAACAGTGCGCCGCCAGGGCCGTCTCCAGGCGACGCCGAGCGGCCGGGCGCGCCGTGGGCCTAGAGAGGCCGCCCTCCCTCCTCGCTCCCCTGGGGCCTCGGCCTCCCCAGCCGGGTTGCGGCCACTCCCGCCGCCTGACATCATCCGCCGAGTTCGGGGGCTGAGTACCGCTCGCACGCGGCTGTGCGCTAACCTCCATTCTTAGAGATGCGAACCCGCCGGGAGCAGGGAGGCTAGGGAGGCGGGGATTCATGGAACTGGGCCACTTGCTATTTTTGCATTCTCTGTCACAGTCAGAGGTGAAAACAGAATTTCATCATTGTATGTCACTGGTTTATATCGGTGGGAATTTAGGTGCTGTTTTTTTTCTCTCACTTTAAAAGGGGGAGAGAAAAGGAAAAACACATAATACATAAACACAGACTTCTCAGAGCTGCTCTGACTCCTAAAGCAATTTTCCTAATTCTATCATCTGTCAGGCTACTTCATTACCTTTGATTATTTAATTTAAAAAAAAAAAAAAGGGTTATGGAGGTAAATCCATCTCTCTTCTTATTATTAGCTTCTGACAAAGTAGGTCAAGCTTTGAATTCCTGGGTCTGGCCTTGCATTCCATTCATAACTGGATCTCAGACCTCTTAAGAGAAAACCAAGAATGATTTCATTTACTTTCCTTTCAGATGCCAACACCTAATGGATGTGTCAAGATTTCGTATCCAGTATTTATCTCATACGTGACATCTTGACTATGCCAATAAAAAAAGAAAAAGAGTCTTTGGATGAACCTGCCTCCTCCAGCTAGCTTAACTCTTTCCTTCCTGGTACCCTTAAGACCAGAGAGTTGGAGACTTAATAAATCCATCCTCTGAAAAGGACCGTGAATCCATCCATGATTTCATTCATTCATTCATTTATTGGACAGAGAACTATTGAGAGCCTCCTATGGCAGGGCACGGTGCTGGGGGCTGGGGCTTATTGAAATGAACCAGGTGGTCAGTGGACCTATTTCTACCCTCGAAGAGATTCCAGCTTTGTGGAGAAGACTGACAAATCAATAAAGAATTGCAGGGCAGCAGTAAGTGGTTTGACAAAAGTAAGAATAGGATGCCAAGGAACACAGAAGGAGGATGTGAGGACAGTTATCATAGGAAGTGAGTGCAATACAGAGATTGTTCCTGGTTTCACTGTCCTCTGGGAAAAGACACAATAAAGATTGAAATGCCAAAGCATCATCTAGGGCAGCAAGTGCTTAACCCTAAGCAGTCTTGTTAGATGATACAATCTCAGGCTTCCTCTAACATCTAAACCTGTGATCATTCTAACATGCTCTCACATCTCCGTCAACTCACGGAATCCATTTCAGGACTGCAAAATCACATTTTTAATATGGAGCTCGCATGATGTAGCCTTAAAATAAGGAGAAATCAGAACCAACGTGGGGAATGATCTTTGCCATTTGCAAAGGTCAGGGTGACTTTGAGACAGATGTGTGTGCCTCTCTGAGCATGGTGGTGCCTTTCAGCCAGGGCAAGGGTTTCATGTTCTAGACAAGCCTGAGCATCCAAAACCCAAACTTACATAGTTTGTGATTATCTATGTGCTGAGCTCCTCCTATTTGGGGATCCCGAAGTAAAAAAAAAAAAAGTAGAACCTCACATCTGATTTTAACCCAAATTTAACTGAAATTCATTTCTCCTAGCAATTGTTCCTTTATCAGATAGAGACTTTTCCAAATTTGAACTTTTCCGGCATTTGAATAAAGAGCCCTGACCAACACAGAGCATCTATTTAATAACTCTGGAAGTCAGTGCACATTGTTTAGACTGGTGTTATTGCAACATTAAGTGAAAGGCTGCTGTCTATGCTGCCTACGTAAATGCTGCCGCACACAACCTGTCCCCAGCATGCAGAAGTAGTTATTTATTTGGGGAAGCGTGGTCTAGTGGTGAAGTGTTGTGGTCAGAGCACGAGACCAGAAGTCAGGAAGATGCGTATAGCAAAATCAACTTCTTCAGGGACTTGGGGAAGTCGTTTCTTAGACTTGTTTAACATCTACATACTTTTGGCCTTTGTCTTTTTTATGTACTGATATTCACATAGCACCTAGCACAGTGCCTGGCCCACAGTAGGTGTTCAATAAATATCTATTGAATACATGAATGAATGGATGAATGCCCTTAACCAAGCAAAGCAAATATATATTATTGTCCTTTATGGGTACTTAGAAATCAAATAGATAATGTTCTTTAAATCTTTGGAAAGGTTAAACAGGCTGTCTTTTATTCTTGGGTATGAATAGGCAAAAATTGGGCAAGAGAAAATAATAAGATTTAGGGCTATTTTCAGCTAGTACAGCCTCTGTGTATAAAGAACATCCCAGTGGTTTGTGATGGAACATCAAACTTGCCTTTGTTATTGAGTCCCATACATAAATGCCACGTTGTTTGCAAGACAATGACCGTGTTACCACCACCCTGTCATTTATTCATTCTAAATGTCTGGACCCAAAGCAGAGAAGTATTCCACAATTCAAGCAGGACTCACACACATGTGAGCCCAATTAAGGGTCTTAGGGGTCAAGGTTACTCATTCTACGGCTCAGACAGTAAGGAAAAAGACTTCCCCTATTTTAAAAGAGTGGAGGCTCAGGAATCACGCCACCATCACCACACACACACACACACCACCACCACCACCACTAGTTAGTACTAGAGATTTAGCCTCTTTGAGAAAAAATGTTTTCATTCTGAACAACTCTTGGCTTTTTGACAGATGATGATTCAGTGGGATCCCCATCCTTCTGCTAATGCCAGCATTTAAACAAAGCTCTGTGTGGTCCCTGGGACACACTCCATCTGGAGCTGATGAAACTGGGGAACAACTATGGTGCTGAACAAAGACACGTTTCAGCCCAAGCTTCACTGCAGCCAGCAGCATGAGACCCTCATTCTGTCAGTCATGCCGAACCTTGCTGCACAAACGAGAGCTCCCCATCGGCAAACAAGCAAGTCTTCTCCAGGCTGTCAGCAACTTGGATGTCCTGAGGTAACCTTTTGCAGCTCTGGTGGACTTAGCTGCTGAAATTCCAAAGGAACCCCATCTACGTCACTAAACCTACATCACAACAACACACCCTGCCTAGAAACCTCAACTATAGGGCTCCTATCCAATGAGAAAATCTCACAATTAGCATGGGCAGGGCAGGGGATGGCTAAAATGGGCTGGCTCATGACATGCTCCAGGGTGTTAAGACATCAAGCATAGTTTACACCATTTTATCCACCACCTTACTCACCTTACTCAACAAGAAAGATCTTTTAAAAAGACGTTAATAATTGTAATACAAAAAAAAAAAAATTCCCCTTTCCTAAACCAGGAAAATCCTAAGCAGTCTGTAGGAATTCGGAGTTAGGCTGCCTTCTGATCTTATAGATCATAGTTTCATCCTGAGTCACTTTTTGTCTTAGTTTACTATTTGAGTATGTTCTGCAAGAAAATTTTCAGTTGCGACTCTCAACTGAGGTCTGATTATCTCCACTGATGTTTTACCTGGAGTGTCAATGAGTTACAGATTACTTGTGAAAATCCCAAAAATGACTCTAAGGAAGAATTCCACCTTCAGACTTTGGCCCACCTGAGATTGTGAGGAAATCAATTAAGACAAGGACAGATCATACACTGAAAGTCTACTCTCCCACTGAGTGGGGCTCTGAATTACATCGTAACACTAAACACTAAATCATAAACCCCTCCAAACCTGTTTAGCGGCCAATTTACAGAATGACAGAAAAAAGTCTACACTTGTTACGGCGTCTGTGGATTCTGTGTGACCCAGTCCCTGCCTAGCCCTCCAACCTCATCTTAAACCACTTTCCCTCATTCACTCCACTCTAGCTTCACTGGCCTTCTTTCTGTTCCTCAAATATACCAAGCTGGTTCTGCAGCTCGGCCCTTGTACTCACTGTTTCCTCTTCCTCCCAGATCTTGACATGTTGACGCTTCCTCACAATCAATATCTGCTCAAATATCACCTTCTCCCAGAAGCCTGTCCAATGTTGCCTCTCTCCTCCTTGCCCCTCAGTCACTGTGTCACATTACCTGGTCTTATTTTCTATCTAGTACTTATCATTGTTACCTGGTTTGTTTATTTGAGTACTTTGTATTGTCTGCCTTCCTCTTCCTCCACAAAAGAAGGGACCTTATCTGTCTTATTCAGTAGGTATTGATCCTCAGTGCCTAGCCTCTTGACACTAGTAGGTACTCCACAAATATGTGTGGAATGAATCAATGTTAAACAGAAAGCTTGTCAGCTATTGTCCATGTGGCTGAGATGGCAGCATGGATTCCCTTTTTGGATAACGGCTTGATGGGTGACTTCTTACCTATACCTTCCTTGGGTAAGGGGAACCAAAATCCTGATCGGCACCTTCCTTATCAGACATAATAATTTAGATGCTTATAAACCCAAGCGGTACACTCATCCTTAGAAGCGCATAGACCCATCATATCTGCTGTCTAAATGCTTCTACTACCTTACACATAAGAGGGTATGAATGCTAGAGTTTTAAATCCACAACTACCCTGCCCAGAAACAGTGATTGGCACAATAAAAAATTTCATCTGAAGTGGGTTATCCCCCAGATCCTTTCTTTTTCATAAACTCAGCCTAATAACATAAGCAACTTTTAGAAACTATTTGAGCACAAAAGTAAAAACCTAACCAATGTTTTAGTTTAAAAGCACTGAGAATAGGACCATAATAAAACTTTCATGGTCCTAAAATGATTATAGTACTCTCCCAAGCAATTAAAAATAAAAACAATATTAAATTACAAAATAATTTTTATTAAAAATAAAGTTTTATTAAAAAAATAAGACAAGTAGGCTGAAATAATACCAGGATGTAAGTTCCACGAGGGAGGGGAAAATTGCTGTTTCTTGAGTGCCAGAAACAGTGGCTGGCACAATAGCAAGCACTCATAAATAGAATAATGGATACAGTTTTCTCAATTCTTCTTTGAATGCTGTCTTGAATACCCCACCCCCCTCCCCAGCAGGTTTACTTGGCTTCTTGCGCAAACCAGCCATGATTGGTCACATGGCAGGAGCCAGGTTGGTATTTGTTGACTAAGAGACTTGCACAGGACAGAAGGACTATAGTATCACATACCACAGGGTCACCTGAGGCCTGGATGTAGCGCCTACATCAGCCCCATCTGGGCTGAGCTGATATCCGAAGTTACAGAGCACCACATACGCTCCTGCCTGATTCAGACTGCTTAACCCTGAGGGAGGGGATCAGCCTACAGGATTCTTCGTTTGAATCATTTGGCAGTTCCATTCTATTCCTTTCTTCAGTTTAATTGGGTGGCTTGGAATAAATTATGGGTAACCTTCCCAGCGAGTGCCTGTGGGTAAAGAATTTTTGATTTCCCCTAGTCTCTGCTGGCTGTGAATAGGAAACTTCACAGTAGGTGGGAATTTGGGAGTTCATTTGCTACTGATACTTTGCCATCCACATCAGGTTTATTTGAACCTGGGGCTTCATCCAGCTGGTGTCTGTCTGAGCTTGGAACTTGGAAAAGCGTGAAGCAAGGGGTTGTGAAATAGGCTGGGGAAATAGAGAAAACCTGATGATCTTCAAATAGCACTCTGCTCATTGGCCCGCCAAAAAAACAGGCTCGCCAAACAACAGCTCCAAGCCACAATGAATATTTCGACACTTCCTACCCATTTCTGGCTCATGTGGTAAAATGACCAGAGGAGCACGTAAATAATTATAATAGAGAAAATCAGAGTTTCAAATTAAGTGATTTTAGATTGCATGTTTGATAAGAGCAGCCCTGAGGTGTTTATAACACACGTCTGGTTTGAGATTAATTTTGT